GCGCGCCGCCTCCGCCGCCGCCGCCGCGGGCGCCCCGTTGCCGCCGGCGGCGGCGGCGTCCAGCAGCGGCGCCAGGGAAGGCAGCTCCATGAACCACCCTGCGCGCGGTCATGACGGCAAGGTGGGGCGGACGAACAGTTCAGGGTTTAGGGTTTAGGGTTTAGGCTACGTTTCAGAGCTGTTGCGCAGCGTGGCGCGCAGCGGGCCCGTCCGGCCGCGCGCGCGGCCCGCGCGCCGCAGCCGACGCCCCCGCGCGCAGCAGCCCCGCAACCCTTGCCCCTCCCCGAACAAATCGACCCCAAGCGAGCGCTCCGGCGGGCGCACCCGCGACATGGTGCCCTGCCGCAACCGCCTCGGCCGCCTGGCGCCCCAGCTGCGACGCGAGCGCCGCCGTCAGCCGGGGCCCGAGCCCGGCGCCAGCGCCGCAGGCGAGGAGCGGCTTCTGGAGGCGTACTGCGTCCTGTGGGGGCGGCACCGGTGGTGCAGTCCGGGATGAGAAATTCATGTTGAAATAGGGCGGCAGCAGTCGGGCGGCGGAGCAAGGGGATGGGAGGGGATGGGAGGGGAGGGGGGCGGGCGCGGTTTGGTGGAGAGGAGGGGGGCCGCGGGGTCGATCCGAGCAGTTGCGGAGTCGCGCGAAGCACTGTGGGAGCGAATTTTGGGGCGGCGCACCCGGCTGGGCCGTCGGGCGGCGGTGGTGGGGGGGGGGCTGGGATGTTGGTGAAGCGACCCACAGCCCCCCACCCCCTGCGCCGAACGTTTGGCCCGCGGCAGTCGGTGGCACCTCTTTCCTCAACCTTTCCTCCCGCGCCATTGTGTAGCGCAAATCGCCCCATAGGCTGCGCGCCGAAGCACGTAAGCACGCAAAACCACTTGCCAGCAGCCCCCCCAAAGACTCGCCGTGCCCCTCTTTGGCGGGACGCTGCGCCGCGCCGCGGCCGCGCTGCGGCCATGCCCATGCATGTTTTTTTGGAGCGATTTTTTGGCGGGCGCTTTTGCGCTGTCTTGTGTGCGCGCACCTGTAGGTGTGCCGAGAACGCCTCGCGCGCCCACTGCAGCCGGCAGCCGTCGCCGCAGGCTAGGCGGCCGGCAGGGTCGAGCTCGAAGGAGGCCAGGTCGACCTCCCAGGGGCTGGAGTGCACGTAAAAGTCAGAGCCTGGGGTTTAAGGGGATATGTATATTGCATGCATGGCTCACTTTAAAGTGATAAAGGATTTAAGCAGCAGCCTGTTGAGCATCGCAGGTGGCGGGTTAGGGGGCCGCCGGGGGTGCGGGCAGAATGAGGGTAGCCGCGGCAGCCGGTGGGTGCGTCTGGCGGAGGGTGGGGGTCGGGGCGACAACGATAAGCCACACCTTCCCACATGACTGCACACACAATTCAAGCCCACACGCACACTTGCACGTACAAATGCACGCATGCGTGCGTGCATGCATGCATGCAGTATGCAGGCACCATGCCTGCATGCATGTGACATGCATGTTTGCGTGCGTGCAGCATGCATGCATGCATGCTAGCTGCACGCAGCATGCGGGCATCATGCATGCGCGCCGGCAATCAGGCAAAAGACCCAGCAACCACCAAAACGCAATAGCGGCCCACGCAAACATACACACACTCACCCGTGCACACCGCATCGTGCACCATCCCCGGTGGGACCGCCAGCGGGTGCAGCGGGCTGCGCGGCGGCAGGCGCTCGCCGTTGCGCCGCCGGTGGTGCGGCGAGCTCGGGCCGAAAGTGCCGTCGGCGCCGGCGGAGATGAGGTGGTGTGGGGCGCGCTGGCGCACGTAGGCAGCGATTTGCTTCACCCAGCCCTAAGGGGGGAGAAGCGGTTGAGGGAGGGGCGGAAAATACAGACGCTCTGCGTTTCGCGGCTGCGCCGTGCGGTGCAAAAACGGTCGTCCGAGCGGCCGCAGGCCAGCGGCTGCAAAGTGAAGTTGATACTGTATTGGCAGCGGCAAGGGGGGGCAGCAAAAGACGCGATGCCTCGCCTCGACTGGCCGGGCGGGGCCTGTGGGCGCCGTGTGCGCTGGCGGGCCCGCGCCACGATCTTGGTATGCTGCGCGGCGCGTCCCCACCCGCTGCCGCTTCGGCCTCGCAGCCGCCACGTCACCACCAGCAGGATACCAGGGCGTGCAAATTAGGATTGCCACGCGGTTTCCCGCCGTCACCCTGTTCTAGAACCATGCAGGCTCATGGTTTTGGGCAGAACAAGCTCAAAGCATCGCCCCACCCCACTCAACCCCACCCCCTCCCCTCGCACCTTGAGCCTGTTTGAGCCAGGGTGGCCCGGGTCCAGCGGTCCCATGCCCAGCTGCCTGTGTGCGCGCGGCGACAGCGCATAGGGCCCTGCCACATCAGCGCCCCGTCAGCGCGCGCGCCCCCAGCCCTTGCCAGGCGCACAGCAGCGCCCGGCTCGATCGGACCAAGGGGGCGGGCGGCACAGCCCAAGACGGAGCAGTCCGGTCCCGGTCTGAGCGCAGGCCAAGCGCGGCCGAAGGGGAGCCTCACCCATCCTGCGCGCCCCCCGTAGCCCATCAGACAATAGACGCCTGGTCTCGTACAAAACAACAAGCGAGGTTCGATTCAAGCCCATTGCTGACTCAGAGTCCACGAGTCACCATCTGCTGGTCTAAACCGGGCGCAGCTGCCCCCCCCCCCAAACCATCCAACGCGCACACCGCACCCCACCATCCGAGAATCGCGGGGTCAAAGCGGTACTCCTCCCCGGTGATGGCGTTGGTGTGGGACAGCAGGGCGGCGATGTAGTCCAGGAAGACGGACTGGGCGGCGATGACATCATCAGGGGCGGGACGCCATCAGGGGCGGAGGGGGGCAGGGGGGTTGGGTGGGGTGCTTGGGGGGTCGTGCGCATTCCACCCATCTGCAAATCAATCAGAGAAGGCTCAACCCATCAGGTTGATTTGACCAGATTCAGATCACTGCCCTCTTTCAGGGCTGAGTCTGCACCAAGCAGTCAGGTTCATCCCTGATGCAGGCGTGCAGATGCACAACGATACCATGTATTCCTCGCCCGCTCGGATCCTGATCACAACCAAGCATCACAGTGCACAGGAAGGGTCTGCACACCAATGACCGGACAGGGGTTGTATACAACCAACCAAGAGGTGTACATACATACAAACTTGAAATTCGAATTCTGCGCACCTTCACGGTGTCGTTGCTGTAAAAGTCTCCCACAGTCAGCTCCCCCCTGCCGCCGTCCACCCACCCGCAGTAGCGCTCCGCGCCGCTGCCGCCGCTGCTACTGCCGCCCGGGTCTGACAGCACCAGCAGCGTCCGCATGCCGCGCGCGGCCGCCTCCGACACCAGCCAGTCCAGGCCGTCCCTGAGTAACGGAGGTTGTCAAAATGGGGCAACACTCGGCAGGTTGTCCGGGGGGAGGGTGATTTTTGTTTGCCTGCAGCGATGCGAAAGGCCGGCTCCTTGTAAAGCAGCAGGGCGGCCACGCGCACTCCCAGGTGAGGCGCTCTAGCCAGCAGCTCCGCCCCTCGACCCGCGGCTCACGTGAGCGCCGCCCGGTCCAGCACACCCGGCGCCGGCTGCAGCGGCCGCAGCCGCCAGCGGCGGTGGCCC